TCTCTAATAATTGAATCAAATTTATCTATGAATACTGAAACTTTATCCTGTTTATTTATTTTAATACTGTACAGTTCCTCTCTCACTTTAGCATCGTCTGTGTTTGCCTCTATTCTTCTGTGTTCTCTGATTTTCGTTAATATTTCTTTAGGGTCATTTATGTTAAGTATTATTTTGTGATAGTTTTCATCTAGATGATTTATTATAATGTCTCTAACTAATCTATTTCTTTTATCAACTTCTTCAACATCGAAGATTCTTTTGGGTCTAGTGTTTGAATCTATGACGTCTAATAATTCTTTTGCCGATAGTTCAGAGTTCAATCGATCCAACCATACATTGATATTAGCCTTGGACGTAAGGGTATAATCCCTTTTAAAAGATGCTTTGGATGTGGAGTTAGTACTCTCTATTGTTTTGGCTAATGTACCAAAGGTCTGGTTTATTTGGTTGCTAATATCGGTAGTAAGGTTGTTTCGGTTGATCTCTGGATACGTTGCATCAGGGTTAGTTACAATGTCTCGATCAGTTAATTCAGGAGCTCTAGTGTTATTATTATTAGATGTTGCATTGATATCAGGGACTAAAATTCTTTCGATGGAAAACGGATGGTTTCCACCACTTGATAAAGGCGAGGAGGTTATCACGCTAGTATTAGTACGGGCGTCTTTGTGTTTTGATCCTACCGTAAGTTTTTGGATCTCGAGTCGCTTTGACTCGAGTGAGGCGTCCATCATGAGTCTAGCCTCTTTGATGGCCTCGTTGATTTGAGGCCAGGCTTTGGCCTGTAGCTCGGCCACCTTTTCAGCAGAGGCCATTATGGACTCGAGTCGGGTGGCGAGGATAGTGTTAGGGTCTTCCCTGGGCGGTGCGTAGGCCGAGCCAGCCCTTGGAGGAGGTCGAAGGGGCACTATCATGCGGGGGTTACGAGTCCTCGCACTGGTTGTTGCGGTGGGTCGCAAGGAGTTCGATGGGACGACGAACTCGGGGCCCCGGTCGTCTGTTGTTGTATCAGAAGCGGATGATGCAGGGGTTGACGACAATGCGTCACTAGTAGCAGTTGAGGGTGCTAAGGAACAATATCTCCATTTAAACATTCGGTACTTAACTCTGATTAATCGCGGATCCGCACTCTATTACTCTAAGATTGTTCGATAGCTATCCAAGCTCTAGAACTTATTATATTTGTTGATATTTATGTATATACCTGTCTCATCCGCCTCCGTCTCCTGACCGACGACGCGGTCCCCCTCCATTGCCTCCCCCATCTCCTGATTAGCCTCGCTGTTCATCTATAAATAAAAATTGACCGAATGTTTCTTCTAACTGTTTATAAAAGGCGGGCTAACAATAGGCTTCTTTCTTATATCTGTCGGGTACATCCGACAAATACAGTCAGAAAGCCAACAATTAATTGCCCAATAAACCGGTACTGCTCCCGTGATCCCTCCTTTTCTATTGACCATACATAGCGCAAATTACTGGGGAGGGGCGATCGCTCACGTTTACAATACCAGGCTCATCACGCAATCAACCGTTAAAGTCGCAAGAGGTGTTGACTATACGTAGTGCAACAACCTCGACTTTATCAGGAGATATCACGAAATATGTATACAAAAATTTTTTTGTGGCTCTTAATATCTCTAAAACAGTAAACCATTCTTCTAAGAATTTAAACTAATTTTAAGAATTATAATTTGCAAGTACATACATAATTTAATATAATTATATATATATATATATATATATATATATATATATATATATATATAAGTGTTATATTTATAAGTATTAAATGTTGATATTATGTGTATTTAATTTTATTTTATATATGGTATTAGTTTTATTTTGATCTACATTAGCTTAATCGTAGTACATGTCATGTATGCAGGCAGTCCCATACCGGGTCACTGTCTGGTATTTGACAATTCACTCCAAAGTTGCAACGGACCTTAGGTTGTGTCACAAGTACCGTTGTGAACACACCTTAGTAGCGCGCGCGCTCACTACCTCTACTTTTTTTTTTCTTTTCCTCTAGCTGTTTGTTGCGCGCGCATTCTCTCTCGTTATACTATTCGTTTAGCTCATGCGCGATGCTACTCTTTTATCGCGCGCTTTCTTGCCGCCTCGTGTTTTAGCCGGGTGTCATGGCGTCGAGCCCTTTGTTCAACCGTCACTCATGATACCGACTCTCCATTGCGCTCAATTCACGAACAAGGCCATGTCACTCGCGAGAAATCCAATGTCACTGCTTCTCCGCGTTTACGTTGCTGCTTTTAACCTCGATCCGAGCTATGTCTTTACGCCACTGCACGATAAAACGCGACAGAAAAACCGCACCATTCTGCAACTTTATCAATGTCGCAAATTCACTCTAGAATTCCAGCCCTCTTATTAATTCGCTCTAATATGTTATTCCGTTTCTTTTCTAATGATTACGCGCTCGATATTTTTATTAGTCTACGACTGACTAAATGTTAAATAAAAAATATTCGTTCTTCGAGCATTTTGCGTATTCGGAATGCGACACTTTTCGTGTGCTTATTAGCTCACTTTGCTTTTGTTATTTATCGTGTGCTCGTGTTGCTCAGGTGAATACCCTTCAGCTCACATTAATAATTTTTAACATACCTCTATGATTCACAATTTTTCCTTTTGCTGCGCAGTGGAAGCGTGCTGGGCCCATAACCTGTTGGACTACTGGGATAAATTGAAAACAACAATCACCTTTTATTAAATATGAATATATATATAAGTGAGACTATACAAATGCTTTGCTCTAAAGATATGCAAACTCTATTAATTATAAATTAAGTCACAAATAAAAGATAATACAAAATGAACAAGAAGAAAGTAGCAGAGCTCCGAGTCGACGAAGGGATATAGCTGTAATGCAGAGCACGTTAGATGAGCAGTGCTGCACAGTGAAGATGGCGTGGTAGGCTCCCGCGCACATGCGCACAGTATTCCGAACAAAATGTAATGCATGACAATGTTTACACGGAATTTCTAATTTTCCTAGATAATCTGGTATAGTATTATTCTGTACATTTGTTTGTGTCGAACTATGCGTAGTCCTGTTGCTTTCATGGATAAGCTGTCGAGCTTGTTGCCGTCTGAATTTCTGACGTTCTGCTCTTTCTCGTCGACGATTCAACTGAAAAACCTCTTCTTCCTCTTGTGACCGATTTTTTTTTCTAGGCATAATATTTATATATGATTGTTCAATATATCATTATCAAAAAAAAGTAGATAATTTGTCAAGTAATATATGTATAAGACATAGAAATTAAATCATATTATTGAAAAATTACCGTAACCGTATGAAATACAAGGAAGAATTGAATTTATTGGAGAATCAACAATTGGAAAATTGGAATAAAAAAAGATTGACGTTTAAAAAATTGAGATCGTATAAAGCATTCGTAAAAAAATCTTATTTCATGTACTATATAGGTTCATTTTCGTATAATAGTTTTTATTTCGTATATTTTTCAATTTCGTATAAGACTTTTTATTTCGTATATTTTTCAATTTCGTATATTTCTAATTTCGTATGATTGTAATTTGTTTGTACGTGTATTTATCAAATCTTTGTTAATATCGTACGTTATAGTTACAAATATTTCCTGAAAAGTATTTAAATAATTTCAAATTGCTTTTAATAAATGTTACTTTTTTATTTAACTACTTTTGTTACATATAACATAAGATAATTATAATGAAAAAATACAGTATTGAAAATCTGTGCGTAGAATGATAATCCAATAACCAAAAATATGTAACCACTTTTGACTTAAAAATGGAATCCTGAAACAGAAAAAAATTATTTTATATTATATTTGTTTTTAAATCAAGTATTGCAATAATTTTCAGCCTTTTGATCACCCAAAATTGCTTTTTTTGACATGTAAAATTTATGTTTTTCTTATATATTTTTCAAAACTGAACCCGAATACGTTTTTTAAATTTACATAAATATACGTATTAAATGAAACACATTCGAATTACAACAAAATCTCAATTTGAAACTCAAAAGCCAAATTACGGCAGCATATAACCAAACAATTTGTCTTCTGCTCAGCTGCGGTGATAGCAAGAGAGAATGTGTGAATGAAAATGTTTAGATGTTTGTGTAGTTATCATGTCTTCTAAAATTACTTAGTTAATATTACTTTTGTTTCAAACTTATCGTGCGCTGAAGGAAGAAAAAAAATGTTTGAAAATAAATTCATTGTATATAGCACTGTAGTGTACTATTTATCACAGATTATTGATTTGAAATTTATACCCATGTTGTATCTCGCATAGTAAATTCTATTTCACTTTCTATACACTTGTTGTACGATACTTTTTTGACATAAACTATGTGCATACCACTTATATACATAATCAAGGCTAAGTAGTTGATATTACTTTTTTTTCAAACTTAGTATTTTTTACAAGTGGCCTTGATTATGTATATAAGTGGTATGCACATAGTTTATGTCAAAAAAGTATCGTACAACAAGTGTGTAGAAAGTGAAAATAGGGTGACCAAGATAAAATATTGGACTTGTTGTACGATACTTTTTTGACATAAACTATGTGCATACCATTTATATACATATCAAGGCTAAGTAGTTGATATGAGCAATTATATCAAACTATAGACAATGTAGAAAAAAAAATGAACTCGTTAACACCAAACTGATGAACTGGCTGCCAACTACGTTAGCAGCATGCTTTCTGGAAGAGTATTAAGCTAATCCATCACTTATTACAAGACCCAAATCGATTAATAAGTCTTAGAATTGAAAATATAATTGCACCACTTCTACATTAAATTGGATAGAAGTACGTAGAAACCATAAAAATTCATAAATATATTAAGTAATGGAAAATCCATAATCACTGGATAAAAATGAAAGTATCCATGTGTAGTCTTTTAAAATAGAGTATTGAATTATGTTTATTGCAATTAAAACTTCAAAATAGTATATAAAAAGATTCGAATTTACCTTTTTCTTAATAGCTTATGATTTTTTGAGGACTATCGACAATCATCTTAACAGCTTTTCCAAATAACTATAGTAGTAGGGTATTGAATAGCTTTGTCCACCAAAATAACCGGTATTGTTGAATTTTACCCAAATAAATTTATCAAACTATAGACAATCTGGAAAACAAAAATGAATTTGTAAATACCAAACTCATGACCTGTTTGAAAATTAGATTAACAGCAAGTTTTATCGATGAATTTGAAGCTTATCCATTTACTATATGGTTTTACAGTTACGACAGCAATTGCATATGTAAGAGGAATGACGAATCACCAAGGTGTTTATGTTACCTTTATACAAAAATTAATAAATAAATCTCTAAATTTCATCTAGAATTTTGTAATTGCCACATGAAATCAAACAAAAAAGAAATCACGGATCACCCACATGTTTATGTAACCTTTATATAACATTAATCAACTTTTTTACACATACGACAACTACAAAATTAAAAACGCTTGCCGAAAGAAAAACACTTACCTAATTTTTAGAAGACAAAATAATTTTGTACAGGGCAGCGAGCTCCTCAGTACTCAGTAGTTATTACAAACACATGTAAAACTGCAAACGCAATGCACCTAACTGGCAGATTGGCTGTTTGAACCAACATTCGCGATTCAACGATACTGCTGCGTCGCGTTGGTGGCAAAAAAAGAAACCCGACATACACCTGAAGATTCAAAAATTAACATTGGAAAATGTACGAATCAGGTATATAAAAAATGTTCCTCGGTTCTAAATCCCCAAAAACCACCTAAAATCGACAGAAGAAAACGTGCTGAATTTTTTAGAGTTTAAAAGTTATAGAAAATAGAAAAGTTGCTTAGTTTTTTTTTAATTCGATTACTAAACTTTAATTGTATGAAAAAATATGTTGTCAAGAGGGATTAATTAATAACGGCAGAGATAAAAATTGAGTTCCAAGAATATTTTAATGTATTTTGACCTGCTTAACACGAATCTGGGGCTTAAATCGTTCAAAAATTGATAAGTAATTATTTATAAACAATGTAATAGTTTAAACATTTATAAAAAGTTAATTGTTGGGTTTAGCAACATTTTTTTATTTTTCACACTTTCCTTATCTCTCATAAAAGACGTAAGTTTTTTCAGATTGAAAAAATCTCGAGTAGAAGTCGAGAAATTGTAATTTGAGCAGCCGCACTCGGGGCTCATACTTTTATTGATACACAAATAATAATATCTCGGCTTCTACTCGAGATTTTTTCAATCTGAAAAAACCTACGTCTTTTATGAGAGATAAGGAAAGTGTGAAAAATTAAAAAATATTGCTAAATCCAACAATTAACTTTTTATAAATGTTTAAACTATTACATTATTTATAAATAATTACTTATCTTATCGGTAGTAAAGAATTAATAATCGAATCACCATCAAAATTTTATTTAAACTGAAGTTCTCAATGAAATAGTAATCAAAAGCAGCTTTTTAATGATCAGTCCAATCCAATATATTATTGATACACAAAAATTAATCACATTAAAATTAGTAATTGATATAGGAATAAATTCAGATAAATGGTGATAGTACTGTACAATATGCTAAATGGAACTTTCATTCATTAATATCAATATTGCATGATTATATCTTTGTCCCACTAAATAAAAAAAAAATATGTTAGTATACGACAAAATTTGACATGTAGTCCAGTAAAAATAGGCCTGAAATGTTTTTGTCACATAAGTGGATGCATTTTTGATATATGGTAAATTGAGGTCGAAAAAGACGATTCTGAAATTTGCAGAGTTCTAGGTCCAGAGGTTCTAAGAGAAAATCACGTTTGAAATTTTTTTTCGCCTGTATCTCGCGAACGGCTGAACGTATGACAAAATAACATGCACCAATCGAAAGAGCGTGAAATTTTACATCAGAAACAATGTTTAACCCGACATCGATGAGTGTAAAATGTTGAGATAAAAAATAAATAAGAAACTTTACGTGAATATAAGGAGAAGGGGAAGGCTGGGGAAGGCGCGGTATAGTTTCGCTCTCCTCCGCCGCCTCTCCAAGCGTGCGCAGACAGTCGACGACACTCGGCAATCTTCGGCCTATAGCAGCCGAATAGGGGAAACGTGCATGTACGCGCGCTTGAATTCATTTTCGATATTTGATGGCCGGCGATGGAGCGGTGGTCGGAAACAAGTCTTATTATGATCTTTTAGGATTCTCTCTTTGCAACTAATCTAAAAAATACTCTCATCACTAGTACTTAAACGAATTAATTTAACGTAAGCCCCACCTCTTCTTAATAAACATATGTAACATCCATAACACTTAAACAACATGTGGCGATAGCCGAGGTAGCTAAAGCACAACATCACTTTTTATTTTCGTGGTAGCGGGTTCGAATCCCATTGAACATACTTTTTTTAAGCATTTTTTTTCTGTACATCCCTTTGATGGTATACTTATATTTTATATGTTTTAATTTTTGAAAAAAAATTACTTAAAAAGTTGTATTTCTATATTTAGCTGACTTGTACCTGAAAATTACTACAAAATTACATTTGCAATGTTTACTTAATTATCGTATATAAAATTTTCAGTCCTTGCAATGAGATAAGCATTGTTATTTGAACATGGATAAATATTTAACATATAAATATGTATTTGAAGCTTTTTTTATCAGTTTGATCAACTTTTAAAGAACAAAATGTGCATCGATATTAATCCTTTTTAATTTGAGAATAATTCATAAATAAATAATTTTGTACAAGGCTTTACATATTTTGGCTTTTTAACAATTAAAATGACGTTTCATTTCCAGCACGAGAAAAGCCAAAGGCCGGAGGCGGTGGTGGAGGGCCTCCCTCGCGCGCTTGGAAATACTGAAAGTCCGCGTTCAAATCGACGCGCTTCGCAAAAATCAGGCTTATCTCGCGAACTATTGCATCAAATTCGATCATTTTTTTTTTAATTTGGGGTAGCTTCAAAATTTATTGAGATTGGTTTAGTTGTAATTACTATATTTAGTGCCAATCGTTTATTATTAACTTAATTGAATTCATACATATCAGTGTATGTATAAATTCCAATTAATTATTACTTGCTATCCGTAAATATGGATAAGGATAAATAATAATCAATATATTTTCAATTATTAATAACAATATTTTAATTTATATGCATACGTAGGCTATAGTTTACATGATTTCTTATTTTCTAATCGTGCCTAGTTCTTTTCGGCGCAGACTCATTTATTTCGTTTTCATTGCATTCTTCATTCAACATTACATTATGATGATACAAAATATTTTCATATCAATAAGTTAAGCTTCGCCTAGCGTGTCTGACTGTATTTATTCTTTATTATTATTAATCTTTAAGTATTTTTAAGCATCATTTTATTGTACTATAATATCAAATGTGAACACACTTTAAGAAAGCTACTTATATTATTTATCTTATTCAAAAGATCACAAGTACATTATGATGATACAAAATATTTTCATATCAATAAGTTAAGCTTCGCCTAGCGTGTCTGACTGTATTTATTCTTTATTATTATTAATCTTTAAGTATTTTTAAGCATAATTTTAAATCAGTCATAAATTATTTAATATAAATTATGTTTATCGCTATGTAACTTTTATGTACTAACTAATTACATAAACTAATTAAATATCTTATTGTACTAATCATTCAGAATTATGAACAATATATTCACCTATCAGGTTTTATCTTTACATAAACTAATTAAACATCTTATTGTACTAATCATTGAGAATTATGAACAGTATATTCACCTATCAGGTTTTATCTATAACTTATTTCAGTAAAAAAAAGAAACTTTCAAAAATAATTTAAATAAATAGCATAGCTTCAAGTAAGCCCATTTTTACAAAATACTTTTATAGGAAACTTTGTCTTACTTTGTAACTTTATAAAAATTATAAAAAACTGACAAAAAAATCTGAAAACTAAGAACATTTGAAATAGTATGAAAAAGTATATCATCTTGAATGCAAAGCATTTAAAACATTAAAATGTACTTCATTTTAATTATAAAATCAAACTTTGCATGTACTACTACCGAAATTTTTTAAACTGAAGTCTCCATGGTTGGAAGAGCAGAATTTTCTGCAGACTTATCAGTGATCACTCCATTACCAGACATTTTTTTTTGTGCAATCGCATGATCTCCAACTTCATCATTTGATGATCTCTTAAGCAGTGGTCTATTGGCCTTCATTACTACCTTTAAAGGCAATGGTTCATCTTCGCGTGAAATTGTAATGAAAGATGAGTGTTGACAAATAACCACTACTTTTGAACCTGAAAATACAAAAGTGCATTTATTTTTTATGTTGAATTAACTACAATAATTAATTAACATAGATAGCAGTTGCCCACATGAAAAAATTATGCTAGTAACACAATGTTAACACAATGTATATATTCATGAGCAAGTGAAACATACCTGTAGAGCTTACATGTCCTCTAATCAAAACCTACAATATCCATAGCAATTTTATCAAACACTGTAGCACATGTATCAGTTATTATCATGGGTTGTTTGGTCTGTAAACGAGTTAATTTCTTTAATTGACATTCTAGACACTGTTGAATTCGTTTTTGTATATCGTCTTTTAGATTTTCCCAATAATATTCTTGTCTGATCCGGTGAAAGGTTTTTTAAACGCCACAATGTTCTTCAATTGGAGATTTATGGAATTCATAAAAGATTCCGTCACGTTGTTCTAAGGATACATACTCTAACTTATCCGTACAAATTAATATTTTTATTCCACTATTTCTAAAGACACTATCTAATAAATACACTATTTCTGACCAATTTAAATTTTCTATATGTTTACTCTGAGCAATACAGACTCCAGTTTGATTAGTATTAATTAGCAAATCTCTTAATATTTTTAAAGTAATATGAATATAGTCCTTAATATGAGTTAACGATTCTGGGCGGTCTCCTCGTATGCAGAGTCCAAATTGATGATAGTTCTTCTTCTTCTTTTCTTTTGAGACTTCACCCACTTGTAAGATTAGTTTAGTATTAATTTTTTTATTTTCTATCAATTTTCCAGCGCCTTCGTCACAAGGTTGTCCAT